ATTCTATATGTGTAATATGAATTGTAATGTGTTCCACTGTCATATATAAAAAATTAAAAATTAAACATGTAACGTAAAAACTTCTGAAAAAGAAATCTCCAGGCCTGCTTTATTTCACTGGAGAATCCTTCTTACTTTAAAAAAGATTAGCCAAATTTAACACAATCTTTTCCAGAAAACAATAGACTAAAGGACACTTCCCACCTCAATATGAGGCCAGTTTAAGAGTGACCATACCAAAAAAAGAACTCTATATTATAAACATTAGCAAATTAAATCCAACAATATATAAAACATTCATCAATGTAATTCACTATATCAACAAGATAAAAAATAAGATCACATTAATTAAAGCAAAAAGAAAATTTTTTCCAAAATTTAGTATCTTTTCATGTCTAAAACACTTATCAACTTAGAAATAGAGGGAATGATCGCAATTTAGTAATGCGAAAAAACCTACAGCTAACATTACACTAATGGTGAAAGAATGATTTTTTTTTTTTTTGGCAAGGTCAGGAACATAGCAAAGATATTGACTCTTGCTGATCTTTTTTTTTTTAAAGAGAGAGAGAGAGAGAGAATTTTTTAATATTTATTTTTTAATTTTCAGCGGACACAATATCTTTGTTGGTATGTGGTGCTGAGGATTGAACCCGGGCCACATGCATGCCAGGTGAGCGCGCTACCGCTTGAGCCACATCCCCAGCCCACTCTTGCTGATCTTAACATCATATTGGGAGTTCTAGCCACTGAAATAAGAAAAGGAAATAAGTGGCATTCAGATGAGAAATTGTTGATAGAAATTATATCTACTCAGAAAAGAGTTTGGCAGTGTCTTAGCTAGCCTCTGCTTCTACAACAAAATTAACATAGACTGGGTGACTTTAACAAAAAATATTTACTTCTCACAGTTCTGAAGGATGGAAAGTCCAAGTCCAAGGCATCAACAGATTCAGCATTTAGCAAGGGTCTCCTTCCTGGTTCATGCATAGCTGTCTTCCTGCTGTTTCACCATATGGTGGAAGGGATGAGAAAGCTCTTTAAGATCTCTTTTTTAAGGGCACTAACCCTGTTTATGAGGGCTTTACCTTCATGACCTAATCACTGCTCAAACGCTCATCTCCAATATCATTACATTGGGGATTAATTTTCAACATATGATGAAATGAGGTGTGGGATGAGGGGAGTGGCATAAATATTCAACCTGTGGCAGGAGTGTTATAGTATATAGTTAGTTTATTAAACTAAACATCTAAACATGACCCAGCAACTGTACTCTTAAATATTTATCTCAGAGAAATCAAAACTTTTTGTTCCCATAAATGTTATATATGATTGTTCATAGCTTTATTAGCAATAGCCAAAAACTGGAAACACCTCAGATGTCCTTCAACAAGTATATGGCTAAACTAGTACATAATACCATAAAATAATACCACTCAGTAATTAAAAATTACTGAACTAGCCAAAAGTGATAGCACATACCTATAATCTCAGCTACTTGGGAGGCTAAGGTAGAAGGATTGCAAGTTAAGACTGCCCTGGCAACTTAGCAAAATCCTGTCTCAAAAAAAACAGCTGAGATGTAGCCAAGTAGTAGAGTGACGTAGATTTAAAAAAAAAAATGAATGAATGAAAAAGAATGAGCTATTCATACACACAACAACTTCAAGAAATCTCAAAGGAATTATGAAGAGTCCAAAAAAAAACAATTCCTAAAAGCTTATATGTTACTATGATTCCACTCACCTTCTTGAGAGGACAAAATTATATAGAGATTAGTGGTTTCTGGGAGTTCTTAACAGAAGTATGAGAGGGAAGAAAGGAGGTAGCTACGTCTATAAAAGGGCAGAAAGAAGGATTCCTGTGGTAATGAAACTTTTATGTATCTTGACCGTCAATATGAATACCCTATTATACTGTGCAATAGTTTTTCAAGGTGGTATTACTGGGAGAAACTAGATAAATGTTATAAATGTTCTCCATATTATTTCTTACAACTGCATGTAAATATATAATTCTCATAATCAGAAGTGTGTATACAGCTGTTTAAAAAGAATACATTAAAGCTCTATCTATTGACCTGAAATATGACTGCAATATGTTATTGTTAGGTAGCTAAGTGTAGTACCTAGTATAAAGTAGCTGCTCATTAAATATTTGCTCAATGAGTAAAAGGAAATTGCAGAAAATATATATTAATTCAAAATTTAAAAAAATAAAGAAAACCTAAACACTAAATATCTATGTTAGTGTAAGTACATATAAGCATATGAAAAGGTGTCGAAGGATGTAAAATGTTAACAAAAAATTACCTTAGGAGTGGAAGAGGTGCTAGAAGGAGAGAAACATGCTTTTCCTTCATCTTCTTTACTTTGTGTTGCAATAAACACTTTGAAATTTGTATTTTTGGAAGAGATAATTAATAAATGATATTTTTTAAAGTATAGTTAGGCGGTTTGAGAAAAACCAAACCACCTAATAAAATGAAAAGTAAAGAATAAAAAAGATGAAAAGCAAAAACTAAAAATGGTTTGAATATTACTGTAGAATAGAATAGAATAGTGATAGCCAAATTGTATAAAATTTATGGAATGAAGCAAATGCAGTACTTATTTTCAAGGAAATTGTGGTAAGGACCCAAGGGAAAAAGAAGCTCAGAGATTTAGTGACAACAGACTAAGTGCAAGAAGCAAACATCAGAAATATGAACTCAAGAGACAGTCCATATGCAAGCTCTATAGACCACCAAACAACTCTCTGATATTGTCCCTTCCACCCAAAAATGGAGGACAGGCTAGGAACACACACATGGAAGTGATCACCCAGTGCAAAAATGGAGATAGGTTCCAGAAGAGATGTATTTGAGTAATATGAAACTGAGAAAAAAATTGATATTTGCAATGAATCTTCAGCCCCAGCCAATGAACACTTAAAGTATAACAAGTTATATAGGGTATAGGACATTGCAGTCAGTACACAAGGGAAGGGAGAGCATAAAGGGTACTAGACAAAGAATTATGGAGTACTGAATGAGTAGGGGAAAACTAAATTGGAAGTTTAAACTTTGAAGAGCCATTTGACAATAACTTGCTAAAGAAAATGTGCATACCTTATGATCCAGCAATTCTATTTCTAGATAGTACGTTCTAGAGAAATTCATACCTCTGAAACTATTATACATTTTTCCATTTATACATGGAGACATGTCCTAAGATATCAATAGCAATTTTAAGTCTATTAATAAATATTTGGCTAAATTATATGCTATAAAACTGTGTAGCAAATTAAAGGAATAAGAAAGATGTATTTATTTATATAAATAGAACTCTAAAATATAGTTTACTATACAATAATTTATATAAATATTTCAAAGCACCAAATAACAAAAACATTAAAAACTGAATTAGAGGGTACATTCTAAAGTCATGATAATTATTGTTTTTAAGGTGAAAGAATGGGACATTATAGGGGATAAAAGAAATTTTAATTTTACCTGAAATTTTATTTTTTTCATTTTTTTTAACAGACAGAGGGAGAGAGAGAGAGAATTTTTTAATATTTATTTTTCAGTTTTCGGCGGATACAACATCTTTGTTTGTATGTGGTGCTGAGGATCGAACCTGGGCCGCACGCATGCCAGGCAAGCTCGCTACCGCTTGAGCTACATCCCCAGCCCCTTACCTGAAATTTTAAAGTCTTTTTTAAAAAAGAACTAAAGGCAAGTGAGATGAAATATTAATAATTGACAATTCTGGGTGTGTTGATATTTGTGCATGTTCTGATGCTCTGTACATTTGTACTGACCGGCTACTTCTCAAATAAAAGTATGGCAAAAATAAAATATAAAGAACATGTTGGAGACAAGGGGATCAGTTATGAGGCTGCTGCAATATTCCAGAATAAGATTGTGAAGAATAAAATATGACACATTCCAACATAGATAGAGAAGGGTCAGATTTTCAAGCTGCTAATGAGATGAGACTTAATGGCTATTAGATTGTCATCTTAGTCCATTCAGGCTTCCATAACAAAATGCCCTAGACTGCATGGTTTACATAACAGAAATTTCTCTCTTACAGTCCTGGAAGTGAAATCTAAAATCAAAGTGATTGCTAATAGGGCTCTTGACTAGGGCTCTCTTCCTTTGTATTCAGTTCTGCCCTTACTGTCTGTACAAGGCATGGGAAAAGAGAGATCTCTCTCTTCTCCTTGTTATGAGGACATTAATTTATTCAGGAGGACCCCAGCCTTGTGACCTCATAAATATCTAATGAGGGCTGGGGCTGGGGCTCAGTGGTAGAGCACTCGCCTGGCACACATGAGGCCTTGTTCAATACTCAGCACCATATGAAAATAAAATATTGTGTCTACTTAAACTAAAAAAAATATATACATACATAAATACTTAATGACTTCCCAAAGATTGAGGGTTAGAGCTGCAACATATATAGTGGGAGGGGCAGGGGGCACAAATATGCAGCACATAACAAATTAATACTGAGAGAATTTTTATTCATACAATAGTATTATATGACATACAATAAGGTCTTAATAATGTTTGTTGAATCTGTGACATTGGTATTTTCCTGGTTGTAAGAGTTACCCATATAGTATGAACTCAGAAGGAGGAAGTATTGATAGGGAAAAAATAAAGGCAGTATTATCTCAGAGAATAACTTCAAAGAATTAACTTCTTGAAGGATGGCCTCTTAGTGTGAAAAATAACTGAGGGGAAGGGGCAGAATTTAGAGGAGGAAAGATTGTTTTGGCTTACAGTTTCAGATGTTTCAGTTAAATGGTCTCCTGATACCATTGCTTTGGACTTATGATAAGGCAGAACATGGTGGCAGAAGGATGTGGTAGAGGAAGCCTATCAGCTTATGGCAGCCAGAAAGTGAAGACAGAGAGACAGAAACAGAGAAGAGAAAAAGAAAAAGGGGGCATGGACAAGGAGTACTCTTCCAAAGCATGCCCCCGGTGATGAACTTCCTATAACCATGCCCACCACCTACAGTTTTTCACCACCTCGCAGTGATTCATTGAGCTACCCATGGTTTAATCCAATGATGAGGTCAGAGCCCTCATACAATCACTTCCCAAAAGTGCCTCCTCTTGATGAGGGCCACAACCAAGTTAAGATGGCGCCTGGCAGTATGCTAGAAGGAGTGGTTTCTGAGCCAACGCCAGTGAGTCATTAAGATGATGAGAACTCCTTAATGACTGACTGCTATGTCTAGATGATGTCAATTAAGTTAAGCTGTATGTAATTAGTTAGGTATATGTACCTCTGCAGTCCGGCAGAGAAGTGGCTCCTGCTACCTTGGGTGCCCATTACCTTCAAGTTGCTTGTTACCTCTCAGTTATTTTGCCCAGCCGGACTTAAGCAGCCCAGCAGGACTACGGCATCCTCTGAACATTGCTCCATTGGGAACCAAGATTTCAAATACATGAGCCTTTGGGCTCCAAACCATAACATACATCCTCAACCCAATCCAAAAAGAGTCACTTCAAGAGCCCTCTTTCAAATGCTAGAGAACCCTTACAGGAAGCATCTTGTCTTGAATAAGAAAAGCCTTTTATAAATCATCAAAGCACTGATTTCCTCAGCCATAATTAATCCAAGTGACTTAGTCAAAAAATACCTCTTCCATGCCTCACATTGAAGGAAAAGAATTATTGGATATGTGGTGGGGGGCATTGTTCTGGGTCCTAGCCTAATCTTACAGGTACAGTACTACTTCCTTGGAGACAAGAACAGCAACTATGACCTCAGCAAGAAGGAATCACTGGTTATATATGGTCAAGGTTAGCATTAGTTTCAGAGATTTGGTGACCAGGAGAAATGGCCGTTATGGATAAAGGAAAAGTAGATAGGGTCAGCAGAAAATATCACAAAAGAGTTTATAAAAATTAGATACGATCTATTCCATATCCCTACCAAAACTTCAATTCTATTAGATCCTATTATAATGGAGGGGGAGAACACATCCTCTCAAATCTGAGGCCTCAGTGCAAGCACATCCACTATCCTAAGGACTGGGGACTCTCAGTGCCCCAGAGATTTATGGAGTAAACCTCTCATGTAAGATCTAGGGACCCTGAAATGAATGGAGGAAAGTGATGCTGGAAGACAGAATGGATGTGGTGGTTTGATGTCTCCTCCCATATCTCTATAGGATAGTGCCACCTGAGTTTACAGGGTCCCTCCATCTCTCTTGACAGTGAGGAAAGGTGAGGACTCAAACTAGTATGCTGCCGCTAGTCACAAAAGAGTCTCATACTAACCTGGGATTTTCAATTTCACAATTGTAAATTTGCCTTAGGAGATCTCCAAAATAGAATTCAGTGTTGAGAAGCACTCAACTAGGACCCAAGATTTTCTGATCCATAATCTATTATGAAAATGGACAATATGCTCTTATGTGCTGTTGTTCATAGAACAATTTAAACAAAAAAAATCACGGAATAAGTCCACACAGGCACGTGCCAATATCTGAGAACTCTATTCTATGGAAGGTGGTGGTAACTAAATTAACCAAAGGACTGAAAAAAATCAGCCTCAGTCTCCAAATAGAAAACACATCCTATTTTTTACATCAGCCTAGAAGCAAAAAAATAAATAACTTTGAGTTCCAGTGAATGGCCTCTCTTCTCCTCATACCTCACTCCCTGCAGAGGTCTGGCATCCTCCTCTGAGGAGCAGGTTCTGGAACATAGCCTCACAAGGTCACAGGTATGTTACTAAATCCCCTCCTATAATTACAGGGAATGACCAGCCTGGTGACCCAACATGTGCTCAGAGAGCATCTGTAAGTATGGCTGAAGGCCTTAAGGGACCAATCAAGGAATTTTCTAGAGAAAAGTCTCCCAGTATATCTTGGATTACTGGAAAGCAAAACAGCACATATTTCCAAGAAATTAAGTACTTAAATTTTGGACATTTGGGACTTAATATATCTGACTTAAATCTTATAAATAACCTATGCACAAAAAACAGGTGCCTAAGATAGCCAAAAGTCTCGTTAGTGCTCTCTTGAAGTCAAAAGCATTTTTTCCAATCTCTCCTTCATGATTCCCAACCCACACCCATCTCCTGAGTTTTCCTTTTCCTGCCCTCCCTCAATAGATGAGAGAAAACCATCTACTATCTAATAATTGTAGTCCTTTCTACATTATACCATTTAGCAATCCTGGGACCACCTGCCAATTCCAAAGACTTGAAAACTGCTTGTCCCAGGAGAGGGTATATTTTCTCAACTATTCTAGAAAATTCCTATTCATGTGCTAGATCTCAGCTGAAATGCTTGAAGTAATGACTAAGTATGTTAAAGCCATACTGTTTTAGTATCCTAACTCTGCTATTTAATAGCTGTGTGTTCTTGGGCAAGTTAATGATTCAGTGCCTTAGATTCTTTGTCTATAAGATGGGGAAAAGAATTGTACACACCTCAAATGACTGTAATGAGATTAGGGCTTAGAACAGTGCATGCACACAGGAAACCCTACAGGATTTTTAGCCATTACTGATTCAGAGATTTCCACTGACTTTCCAGGAAGAGTGAAAAGCTTCTTTGTGCTACCCACCTAGCCGATACTGACCAGAGTTAATGGTCTTTATAGCTCTCAACAACTGCTTATATCACTGTATCCACTAGATTATAAGCTCCTTGAAGGAAGTAGTTTCTTGTTTTTATCGCTGTATCTTCACCACATGGCACAGGTCCAGGAACAAGATATTCAATCAGTTCTGCTTTACTATAGGTAAATTTGTATGTGATTCCATTTTCAAGAAACTAGGAGAACATTCAAAACTGTGCCCAGGGACTGGAGCTGAGTAGAAGAGCGTAGCATGCATACACCTCAAGCCTTTATCAGTTCCCTCTACTTAGTATTTGTGTTATGAACTACATCCATTCATACTTGGTGTTAAAACTTTCTACCCAATTCCAGATAAACCCACTTCACCACTTCACAATAATTCACAAGGTGCTTCCAACACTCACACAAGGGAAACTCCTGGCCTTTTTCAAGGGAAAGTATTATATTTATTGTAGTATTTAACCATATACCAGATGTAAAACAGTTCTACTATTTGTTTCTTATCTTTAATGTGTCATTGAGAAGTTTTTAAATGTTATGTCCATATCCCATTTTTCCAATAAGCCCCATGGTTTTTATTGTGTAATTTTTGCATAGTATGGTGATTTTAAGGATATGTCTCCTTATAATAGAACTGTACTTGGTAATCTTGCGGTTGATGGTAAATAACCCTTTCTCTTCTCCATGGACACCTGAGGCTCCTGAAACTGTAGGAGCCCCTATTAGTTATCATAGGCTATTTGAGCTAGCAGTTCTGTCCTACAATTAAAAGCAATAACTATTCATAGCTATCTGCATGCCTGACACTGTAATAAGCAATGAAGATACCATGGTTGATAAGAAGCAATGCTATAACTCTTTCAGTCTGGGGCAGGGGGAAGAAAAGTACACTAATTACAACAGTGTAATACAGAATAATACAAAGGTTTTTTTCTCCTAGACTTCAGGGAGTCAGCAAAGACCTCCCATAGGAAATGTTCTTTCCCAGATCTTTTCACTCCATAATTTCTGTCCTTGCTTGTTTTTTTCTCTGCCTTGTTACTGTACTCGGAGTTACTGGGCCCATCAGCACTGGGAAAAGAGGCAGAACGTGGAAGAGTTAATATGGCACAGGTGGGAGGGGAAAAGGCCCTGAGGGAAACAAGATAAACAGCCACATAAAGGAGCCCACAGACATTGGTCAAGGTGAAAAGCAGCGACCATCACACAGTGCTGTGTATCTTTCTCAAGCTTCTGCAGGTGACTTATTCCTCATTCAACATTTGCTAAACTTCTGCTGGAGGCTAGATTTTGAGAGGAGTCTGTCTATTCATCCTGCCTTTTCCAACATCAAAGGTGATTCTTCTTCAAATCGTACTACTCTGGATTGAGCACCATTGTCCTCCCTCTTTGTCACCTCCCCTCTATGACACTCCAGAAATAAGACTCTAGTGGGACCCCCTTCTGGATCGTGAAGAATCAAAGAAGACGGAGCAGGGAAGTTTCTTTTCTTGATGTCTCTCTCTCTTTCTCTGTTGCTCCCCAACCCCAACTTCAATTCTACCTGGTATTCAAGTTTACAAGATCTGCATCAAATTTAAGAATAATATGAGCACCCCACACCCCCAAAACCCACCAAGTTTTCTTCTATCATTAGGGGTTCCTATTACAGTTTCTCCTTTTCTTTCTCCTTGCTTTTTGGAGGGTTGCTGCCAAAAATGTTAGTGCTAGGAAAGACTTGTGTGCCCACCTCCATTATTGAGTTAGGAAAGCTGAAGCCCAGAGGTCCCTCCCAAGGATACAAAATCGAGGACTGAATAATCTAATCCCCACCCAGCACTGGCTTTTCCCCCATATACAAAGAATGAGACCGACTCTACTTGCACCCTGAAAGAGAAGAGCATTCATCTCAGTTGCACTCTCAGCTGATCTCCAATTGGAGGGTTCTGGCTCTACCAGCCACTATAGTAGTAACTCCCCTTCCTCACTACCATTGCACCCACCTACTTCTCTGGCTACCCTTATGGGTTTTTAGGAGCAAGGGATTCTCCCAACCTAGCTAAGACTGGGACCTTAATTATCCATCCAAAAACCCCTAAGCAAAGATTATACCCTTGTGATCTACTGGCCTTTCACTACTCCTGTACATACTCCATGGATGGGTTTATGCCACTGTGACACTCCAAAATCTCCTTGTCCTTCTCCTATCCAGAATCATGCCCCTGTGATCCCCAGAGCTCCACCCTCTACAGGATGGTAGAAACTCCACATTCCAACTCCACCTTCCTATATCCAACCTTTTTCTTGCTGACTGGTATTCCAGGGTTAGGGGGAGCCCAAACCTGGCTGACAATGGTATTTGGGCCCATGTACCTGCTGGCCCTGCTGGGTAATGGAGCACTGCTGGCAGTGATACAGATAGACTCCACACTGCACCAGCCCATGTTTTTACTCCTGGCCACACTGGCAGCCACAGACCTGGGCTTAGCTACATCCATAGCCCCCGGTTTGCTGGCTGTGCTGTGGTTTGGGCCCCAACCTGTGCCATACACTGCCTGCCTGGTTCAGATGTTCTTTGTACATGCACTGACTGCTGTGGAATCTGGTGTACTTTTGGCTATGGCCTGTGATCGAGCTGTGGCAGTAGGGCGCCCACTGCACTACTCTATCTTAGTCACCAAAGCCCGTGTGGGTTATGCAGCCTTGGCACTTGTACTGAAAGCTGTAGCTATTGTTGTGCCTTTCCCTCTGCTGGTGGCACAATTTGAGCACTTCCATGCCAAGACCATACACCATGCCTACTGTGCACACATGGCAGTAGTAGAGTTGGTGGTAGGTAACACACGAGTCAACAACCTGTATGGGCTGGCACTTTCACTGGCTGTGTCAGGTGTGGATATTCTAGGCATCTCTGGTTCCTATGGGCTCATTGCCCACACGGTGCTGCGGCTGCCTACTCGGGAAGCCCGTGCCAAGGCCTTTGGTACATGTAGTTCTCACATCTGTGTCATTCTGGCCTTCTATGTGCCTGGTCTTTTTTCCTATCTCACACATCGCTTTGGTCATCACACTGTCCCAAAGCCTGTGCACATCCTTTTCTCCAACATCTACTTGCTGCTGCCACCTGCCCTAAATCCCCTCATCTATGGAGCCCGCACCAAACAGATCAGGGACCGACTCCTTGAAACTTTTGCATTCAAGAAAAGACAGTTTTAGTGGACAGTGATGACAATGAAGGCTAGACTAGGATAGAGGTGGCAGGGGACAGTTGGAGGAAATTCTGGAGTCTGGGAGTATGGGTTATATTGTCTGTTCCATTGTCTGCAATATGACTGCAATAAGAAATATTTGCTGTGAAACTCCTATTAGATACACCACTGGTATCTGTACCCTTTGGCCTACGCATGTGTCCTGCCTAAGGGAGGAGGGCAGGAGGCAGGAGCTACACAATACCCTGCCAGGAAAATAAGATGAGGAATCATAATAAACAATATCTAATTGAAATGTATCTTTTTTTTTCCTACTCCTACCCCCATTGTTTTGGCCTAAGTTGAAAAACTAAGCTCTTCTACAGACCCCAAACTTTGGGGGCTTGATACTGCCACAAAGGGTGGTACTGCCTCTCAAGATAAATGCTTAGGTACTTGTCTGGGGCCACAGCCCTCTCTTTTATAAAGCCAGATTCTGTTTTCAGCCTGTCCTCAAGAATGGAGCTATAGAGGCTTATCCTCCACCTTCTGAGAATCTGGAAAGATAACGTACTCTGTGATGCCAATTTGGCCAGAAAACTGGTTTTTAAGACATTCCTAAATCAGAGGATCCTCTTGGTCTCGTGTATAATTGTCATTCCTCTTCCCTCACTTCCACCAAATTCCCAAGAATTAATAGCTAGAACTTCTTTCCCTGGGCCAAGGATCCAACTGAAAAAGAATTTGATGTTCTAGAAAATCATTGTAACCACATCATCTACTTGCCCGAAACTGAGCCACTTTTTTATCTTGCCAATCTTCCCTTTTATGTACCTTCAGTCAAGAATGTATACTCCCCAAATAAAACCATCAGCAGCCCTATCTGTCCTGGTAAACATCACTAATAGCACTTGATGTCAGTGCAATATGATGAAATAGGAAGTTTTCACACTGCTGCAGCTGCCAGAACAGAGGTACTAAAAAGGAAGGGTTCACAGTGTTACCCAACAGGAGATTCATTTTCACCTAAAACTGCAGAATGGAAGGAATATTATATAAAAGTCTTACACACCAGCATGGGTTTCAAAATGAGGATAATCTTATATAGAAGGCCAGGAGTCACTGGTGTGGGTCAGAGAAAGCTGCAGGCTGCACAGGCAACAAGCAAACTCAAGCTCTCCAAGAAAACTATCTAACCACAGGTACTAGAAATAGCCATGAAGACCTGGAGCCTGGAAAAACCCAACCCACACAGCTCCAACAGCTGGACCAAGCATGATGGGACACAACAGAGACAAGGCAGCTGCAGAACTGAAAAAGCAAATGATGCCATCTCTACAGCCACATGGGATCTCATCAAGTCCTTTAAAAAGATCCAAAGAAATAGCTCAGATTTGCATGATTTTCAGATGTTCACACTGAACCCAAGTGGATGAGGAGCATATCTACAATCTCCCCAACTGCCAGTTCAGACATTCTCAAGACTAATTTTTTTTCATGAAGTTCTGAGTTTAAATGTCCTCTAAGCCATAATTTCGTGGATAACTGTGACAAAATACTGATGAGTTACAATTCTTTAAGATGTCCATGTCCTTCTCTTTTTAAAAGAGATTTATCTTTAATAAATCTGAGAAAATAATTGAGATATGAACAAACATATATGCAGCAAGATGTTTATTACAACATTATAAAGAAATATAAAGAAGTTCCTGTGTGTTATCTCATGTCACACATACATACACACACACCATTTCTTACCATTCCCCTCTGATACATGAAAAGGGAAATCATATGCAGCCAGTATTCATAAGCATTGAATTCTGTCACCCTCCCACCACAGGAAGACTCTTCTAAGGCACCTTCAATCCCTGGTTGTGTACAATTCTCCAAAGTAGCTCGTTCCAAAGCTGTATGTTGTCCAAAGTAAGGAATTTCTTTCTTCAAGCCAAAAATCAATAACCTTGGACATTTGTATTTTGCTCTGCATTAAGACTGCATTCATACCATTCTTGTAATATATTTATAAAGCTTTACTAGCACTCTCTGATGCCTCTTAATAACCTGAGAAGTTTTTTTATAACTTTGGTCCAAAACTTGACCTCAACCATTATGACCCTATTCATAGTCTTTATCTCATTTAGTATAAATATTCATACATTTAACTGAAGAAATGTTTATGAGGTTGATTATAGGGTACTGCCCTAAATCCTGCTGGGGTATTACTTAATATATGATATATATGCTGTATTTCCTTTTTATCAACAAATTTCCAACTCCAAAACATACTGTCTCAAGAAGTTTCAAATAAGAAATTAGGGACTCATCTGATCATCCTTATAGCCTGAGAGAAGTGAACAGACTTATTAGGGCTCTTTATTCCTCTACAGTCTTTGCTGTCAATACTATTCTGTAGTTCCCAAGAGGTACCTGCAAAGAACCTCATGTTCTCTGGATAAACATTCCCATTTATTCCCCTCATGTTCTCCATTCGGATAACCCTCCAATATTCTGCAGACAATCTGTGCCTCTTTTCCAAGGGGACCCCAGAAACCCTGGCAGCATGATATGGCCCAAACAACTCAGTTCTTGGGCTTACCAGCTCCATTCAGGACTCAGTTGTCATTTGTTTACCTTCAATAACTTTTAGTCTCAGACTCTATGAGCCAAAAGGAAAGAAACTTACTTAATGTCAGTGTACAGCAGTATGAAATTTAGGGAAGCCTATAGACTCACAGTGATAAGAAAGCAAGATAAAGAAGACAGAAGGTATAAGCTTCTGAGGAGGACCCAATTCTTCAGGACCCAAATCTTCCTGAGCCCATCTCTATGAACAAAAATCCTAGATAAATCTTCCTCATCCTATTTCACCAACAACCCACTATTCTCTTCTCTACCTCAACAACCCACTTCATTGTGGACTCCCCTCAGCATCTACAAGTACTCCATTCTCCATCTCTGTTTATCAGTCACTCTCGATGTCTCTGTACTTCTGCAACTCTGCCTTCTTGCATTGTCAGTTTTATCACCTTTATGTTTACTTTCATTGTGAATGCCTCTTTCCCTCTACCTTTGTCTTACTCATTGAGAATTCTTTTCTGAAGAAAAGAGAGGTACCAATTATACTACACTAAATAATCTCTCCTTATGAAAATAAAAAATGTTCTAAAAGGAAGTGACTTGGTTTCACTTGTCTTAACAAGAAATTTGAGGTTTCTGATTTGTTCTGTTGTGGCTTTTCTCCCATCCTGCCCATTTCCTGTTAACTAAGCCACCATGTACTTTCCATCTAGCATACATCTCTCCCACCACACAAAATGAATAGAAGAACATGTTGGTTTCTCCCTTCACCAAAGGAATTATTGTTTAATGGCTTAAGTTAGAATCCAGATGACTTAGATTTGAATCCTAGATATTCCACTAACTCACTGTATGCCCTGAGCTAATTACTCAACTTTTCTGACGTCTTTCTTCAAAGGATCAACGGTATCTGGCATAGACTCTAGCGTAAAACAGCTCAACAAATATTTGATATATTTTATATTAACTCCTCTCCTGAAAAATAGGACTAAGCCCACTGTTAAATATTTGCTCAAAGATCTAATACCCACATATTTAGCAATACTTTCCTCTGAGGCCAGTTACATCTTTTTTGGAAAACTTTTCTTGACAACACTCTTTCCTACCATAGTAGAACCCTTCTCTGGGCCCTACCTTCATATCACCTCCACCAGCTCATTAGACAGCTAACTTTATGGGATAGCTCTATACTCTGGGTCAAGTTAGGGAAGGACACTCCCTATACGCAAGAGGTCTTCATGTGCACAAGGGACACTTGCCAGAGAGACTGAGAGAACTCTTTGGACAGATAAGGTATGGATGGAGTGGAGAATAGTTACCAGGCTCTATCTACTCCAGTAAGATACTAGATTGAGACCTCTGGAGAAAGACATAAGGAAAGATAACAGGTAAGAGTTGGAGTGGGAGAGAAGCAACTAGACACAAATCAGCCTAAGACAAAGTGAAGAACAAAGAATTTCCCTCAAATTTACTTGGGCATTTCTGATTTCCTGAAAATTCTCTCCAGTTACTAAGGCAACATTATCCCAATTAGAGTCTTATCCTCCACATTGTCAATGCTCAGCATGCCACCCACCTACACACGTCTGCTTTTCACTGTACTTATAACTCATCCATTAATAATGGGTTTCAATCTAGGCTGCATACTAAAATGGTTAAAGAAGCTTTTAGAAACCGTGCCCAGGCACACCCAGATCAATTAAATCAGAATCTCTGGAATTAGGAGATAGACAAACATCAATAATTTTTAACATTCCTAGATAATTCCAATGTGTAACCAAAGTTGAGAACCATTGCTTGGATCTAAGTCGAAGCTATATTTTCATGTCCTTCAGGATCCCTATTCAACCTCACAAAGAAGTCTTATGCAGCTAAATAGACAGTAAATTGCTTCAGGAAGACTACTAAAAGGAAGAAAGCCCTGATCATGTCTCCTTAAAAGACCAAGAACTACACACATAAACATATCCTAAAAGATACCTACATTTTCCTCCCTTAAAGCAGGAGGATGAATAGGTCACTCAGGAATATGAACCACAGGCTGTAGTGAAGCTAAGAGAGTTACTGTCCTCTCCTATCCAAGACTCCATCACCTAGCAGGACCTCTATGACCTCACGAATAATAGGTCAGAGCCCAAGGCCTGGGTCCTCACCTTGCGGGGCAGCTTGGGGTTTCCGCAGCAGCCACTGCCCTACCCAATCCTTCCCACACCCCACCATGTTGGTTAGTAACCCCCACCTGCTAACACTGGATGAAGCTGACGCTACCTGGACCCTCATCAAGGATAAGGTGGGTAAAGTAAGGAGGCTAAAGAGGAAATCAAAGTATGACCCAAATGGGTCTGAGCAGCTTGTAAGTAAGAAAGGGTAATAAGTCTAAGACAACAGTAAAATAACATTTTCTCAGTGCTTGCTTATGTGTCAGGCTCTGGGGTAAAGTGCTTTGCACAAATCATTTCATATAATCCTAACTGCAAAATTATTAAGAAAAGTTCCTCAAAAAGCAATGTATAGAGAGCTATGAGAGCAGAGAAGAGAAGCAGGAAGTCAAAGATAGGACTTGGAAGGTCAGGAAGGTGTCCTAGAGAGTAACATTCTGGCTAGAGAAGAAAGAATTATTTACACAAAAAGGAAGAGAAATAGCTGGCACATAAAAGGTACATATTATGAGTGAGTTAATGTGCAGGTGAATGGGGAGTGAATAGTATACTAATTAAAGGCAAAGTATATGGATCCCTATTCAACCTCACAAAGAAGTCAAATGCTCATTTGCAATCTGCAGTCTTCTACAGCAAAGTAGTAGTCATGAAAAGGAAGGCAAAGAGGTATAGGGGCTGATCATGAAAAGTCCTTTAAATTTCCTATGTAATCTAGAACTTTATCTTAAACCCCATAACAAATATTCTCTCCACCTTAATTCCAATAAAGTGAAAAATTTAGGTTTGAGCCAAATGTGTAAATTTTAAGGAGCAAAAGAGATCATAACTGCGTCTGGGATGCAGGTTTCCAATAAGTCCCACCAGATTACTTGTCAGCTAAAGGATAGATAGATGCAGTTTTCTCAGCTTGGAGAATCAGGTTATGGCTATGTGATTTGATGGGAAATGTATTTAAAGCATTCAATAGAAGCTAGTCTGCAAAGCTTAAACCATCTTAAAGCAATGTCTACCAGACTCAAAACAGCCTTTACGACAGGTAGCTACCATTTCCTGGGAAGCTGCTCACCACAAAGATCAGGGAAGTGGAAATGAAAGTGCCAAGGTCTTCCCAAGTTTTGAAAGTAACTGATTTCAGCAAGGCAGAAGGCTGAATCTGGACTAGTCTAATCAGAATTAGAGTAAAAGGGGGTAATTCCACTATTAGAATGCTATACCATCTCTGAGTAGGAAAAGAAAAAAATAAAATAAAACCTCACTATACTATCTAAATGGAAGATCAGAGTAGAGATGTGCAGGTTAAGTCACCAGAGATACATGGCAAATTTAAGGAACAGGGTAGGATACCTTTGAGTGACCTTGTTTCTTGTCTGCAGAAATGATGACAATTTACTGGGTACCTTATAAAATATGTGGCTAAACAGAATGTGCCTCAAGAACTCCTCCCCATTCAGCATTCCAAACAAAATATATCTAAAAAGATAATTTTCTACCATCACTTTCCTGGGATGGCCCTAGGAAACCTAAATTTATACCCTTTAAGGTCTGTACTTTACCTTAGTTCAGTAATGGCAGAAAAAAAGTCTCAAATGGTGACTCTACAGATATGATAGATTTGGGGGCTGGGAATAGGGAATAAAGTATAGCACTTTAAGCATTGGGCTCAAATATGAAGGAGACTCAAAAGAGGAACTTTTATCTACCCTTGCTCTCTAGCTGAATAGAGAACCAGAAGTCTTAGCCAGTGAAAACTTGGAATGGATTAAGATAACAACTAAGTACAATTACTAAAGAGGATCCTATAGGTCATGAAGTATGCCATACTTTCTAATAGCTGGGTTACCAAGCCCAAAAGAAAACCCAGACAAAAAGGAAATAAACAGAAAATTTAAGTGCATGCTGGAACTAAAATTATAAAGATGAGGATTAAACTTCCTAAAACAACTATCCTCTACAACTAGGATGAAAAGTATATTACTAAGAGGTACTTGACATACTTTATAGACAGAAAATGGACATTATGAATCTATTTCTGCACATGCATTCTTGGCTAATGTAACCAATCACCTAGGAATGATCCTTGAAATTTCTTTTCCCACACCACTTGAGACCAAATTCTACTAGTCCTATGACCTAAATATAGTAATATTTTCTCCACATTATTTAGTTCAGGGATTCATCATGTTTTGCCTAGAGTATTTCAATACTCTTATATGACATCTCTTATTTTATGCCTTCTTATAACAATCAGCTTTCTAAAACACCTATCTGGCCCTATCCCTCTTACCCAGAGTCCTTCAAGTGGCTCCCCATTACCCTCAGTATAAAATTCCAATCACTTATGAAATGCATGCACACAAGGCCTTTCATAATCTAGTTTCTGTGTGCCCATCCCTCCTCATACTTTACATGTAAGTATCATGAAATTATGTGTTCCTAAACATGTCCCTCATGGTTTAGTTCAGAGTTTTTCTCATTGGCTATCCCTTCTTACTGGAATAACTATTTTCCTATCTGGTTAATTCTTTCAAAATTCAAGTATTATCACCTAGAAACCTTCTTTGATCCTCTTTCTAGCAAAGACAAAGGTTGTTAGGTCACTTCTTCTCTTCTTCATATCTTGTTACTACTTCACTTAGCTGACTACTTACACTTGTCTCTTTCATTAGACTGAGCTATACTGGACAAGAACAGTATCTCACTCTTACCTGTATCCTAGTACCTAACACATAGTAGACATGCTGCAGGAAAGAACTGGTGGATACGCAGTAGGTATAAGTCTGGGCATGTAAAGATGTAACTGAACAGGAAACAGTGGGAAGGTCAATCTGGAGTAGGCTATCAGTTAACTCCTGACCCTAACTCAGTAACTCACTTATAAACTGGCCACCTACAGGTCATCGAGGAGCGCTTTGGGTCCAATGTAGTGGCAGTACCTTTCCTGTCGGATGCAGCCTGCTATGACCTACTGGGTGTGCTAGTGAAACAGTCCCGTTCAGCCCACTCCCGCCTGGCTTTGCCAGGTCGGCAGGGCCGGAGGGCACTAAAGCCAGTGGGACCACTACCAAACCTCCTAGAACAGGCAGGGTCTGAGGGTGTCTTTTCCCACTGCACTCGGGAATACTCACCAAATGGACGAGCAGAGATAGCCTATGAAGAGATGCGACTGTTGGATGGGCAGCCCTGCCGAATCCGCCTACATATGGGTGGCCTGCGTAAGAAGGTTGCCTTCCTGTTGGTGCCACCAGGACAGGTGAGCCTACAGCAGACGCTTCCCTGGCTCCGAAGCACCCACAGCATCTATGTCATCTACCAGGTCTTCTCCTGCTCCTGGCTGCAGCTAGGGCTGTTACCTACAGCCCGTGAACCCCAGCTGCTCCGGTTACAGCGGTCATTGCCTGTTGCCTTCTCCTGCCTCAAGTTTTCATTGCAGCCCAAGGGTGTACTGGGACCACAGAAGCCTCTAATCAAAGACCCACTGCCCCATGGGGCCAACTGGGTCAGACCCAACCTCAGTCTCATGCCAACTCTGGCCCCCACATCAGCACCTGCTGATCCCCTAGAAGCTGCTGATGTGCCCCCACCTGTCCCAGCCCCAGCTACACCTCCACCCCAGGAAGGGCCAGAGGGCAGACCCACCAGATTCTCCTACAAGGGCCGAAACCCCTTCCGGAGAGGGCCCCAGATGCTGTCAGGTATTGCTAAAGGAAGTGAAGATGAAATGGGTGGGAGGGACAAGATGGGAGAAGGATGGGACCTGAGGAGTATAGCCCAGGAATATGTGGGTAACCCAAGACTATGCACAGGTCCCTGGTGCGGGGAATGGAGTGAAGGAACGAGGGGTGGGTGAGATGGAAACATGGCCCTGATGAGGGGGTGGTGATAGCATGGGGGACCAGAGGGTGGGACTAGGGAGGCAAAAAGACCAGGGCATGAGTCAAGCTGTTACTATCCCCAACCCTGGCAGAGAACTGGCTCTTCAGCCCCCGCAGCCCCCCACCAGGAGCCCAGGGTGGGGGCCCCGGGGATCCCGATCGGCACTCCATGTCCCTGCCCCTGCTGCAGGGTCTGTCCTCGGAGTTCGACAGCGACGACTGAAGCTGAGGCGAGAGATGCAGGGGGCAAGGCCCCCAAGATCTGGCATAGGGATACTGGTTCCCAATAAACATCAGCTGCTGCTCCCCAGAACCTGGACTTATGCTGCTTCTTCATTCCGGGGTCCAAAGAACAGAGTTTTCCCACTTTTTCCCTAGGCTTCGAGTCCTCTCACCAGCTAAGGGCATAAGAGATACCTTGAAACCCTGGCATCGATGTCATCACCGGAGAAAAATACCCCTGATCACCTCCCCATCTATGTACAACCTTTTTGGAGTCCTAGCCCCGTAGATAAAGGGTGGGAAAGAAGAATGAGCACAGAATAGAGATTTCCCTTTTATACATATTGCAACAAGTTCTCCATAAAACATTTATCTGAAATAAATTAAAAAGTTCTTTTGCCACTGCCTCCAAACATAAAAAGGAGCCTGGGCCTTGGCCTCAGCCTAGGCCACCTATGGCCCTGATTGTCCATGGAAGAAAATTAAGGATTGAGGGGTCCAAAGCCTGAGATGGGAGGGCCAGATCCCTCCTCTGAAGTATCCAACAAGAAAGGCGAAGTTACAGCATGGGCCTGGGAGATGGCAGCCAACTCCTTGAGAAACTCAGGGAAAATGACTGCACAGTAGACAGCATTCTTGACACGAAGAGCCTCACCTTGGCGCTCAGGGGCCCCGCCCCGGGGGAGTAGAATTGGAGTTGAAGCCCCAGGGGAGCCCCCACCTAGGCCAAGTCCTGCTCCGTCTCTCCCAGGCTGAAGGACCTGTGCCGCCTGCCGGGCCCTGGTTGGACTGTGTGCGTGTCGCAGGAGTAACTCCCCCAAGGATGGCCTCCGGCTCTTCACTGAGAATAAACAGGGTTATCAAGAAGGTGCTAGTATCAGGGAACCTATCTTAGTCTGAAAGAGTAGATTCCCCCGCCCCCAACCCCCAGGTTCCTGGACTTCTCCACTAGGGTTCTAAGAAAATGGAAGGACAAGATGGAGCAGAAGTGAACCTCAAATTCCATTTCCTGTTCCATCCTTGAAGATGACCCAGGACTTGAGAGGGAAGGTATTCTTTCTCATTCTAGCACCAAAAGGCTACCTGTCAAGCCTTTAATTCTCTACATAAGCTTCCCCATCCAGTCAACCATCATCCTCAGACTTAACTAGTCAACACCTGAGCTACTTCATATCCAGCTGTGATTTCCTCCTTCCCCATGCCACTTCATCAGGAAGGATTCCCCTTCTTTCTAATCACTATTTATTTTCAGTCTATAACACGCCCTTACTTCATGCTTTCTATCACCCTCCAAAACTAGAGTCAACTACTTCCCCTTCCTATGCAGAGCTATAACACCTGACATACATCCTCTGCTCCATCAATACTCACAGGGCTTATATGTGCCATCATAGTTCAGGGACTATTTCATTTCTGTCATACACCACTCTCCCTCTAAGATCTATTTTCTGGTATGACCATTTCAACATTCACCAGTCCCTGTCCTATACCCACAAAAACCTTCCTCCCACTGGTTGTGGTCAGGCAACTTTATGTTGGTTTAGACTCAAACAAACCTTCAAAACACTGTCTTCTCTCTAATTTTCTAGAGGATTCCTAGGTCTGGACCCATGATCATTATTCTAGCATGGACTCTAGCCTCTAGATTATGATAGCAGTTTCCATTTCCAATCTCTAACATCATCTACAGAGACCTATTACATTTGGCATTCAGAAGCACTCACAACTAAGCTCGTCTCCTGTAGTTTATTCTCAAAACTCTCCATACCCCACCTTACCTTTGCATCTGCACCTACCTATTTAGAACCGAACAGATACATTACATGCATTTATAGCTCTGTCTCCTTACATTTTATTCTCTCTTATGTTTCATTTTGTTTTCATCCTTTCTGACTTTTACTCTCTCCACTTCTTTGGGAAACCTCCTCTGACTTGCTCTCCACTGACTTCCCATTTTACTGCCCTTATCTGAACATACTTTAATAATTTATTTCAATGTCTTCTACCTCATGCACAAATCTGAGCTTATCTTAGACTGTCTTATCTACCTTTATATCCCTGGTTCTTCCAGGAACCCCAGTACTAAAACTGTAAAAGTAAGAAATAGTCACAGTATAATATACCATTAGGAAATCATGCTAAGTAATTTCAGCAGGGCCTTCACAGCTGAGCAATAACCCTTGTGAGAGTCTCTTCCCAACTCATACATGCTTCTCCTTAAGCCTGCATTTCATCTCTTCTCTCAGCATATCATTTTTGCCTCCAATTTCACTAGAAAAGAATGACATGAAATCCCTAACACCTTCCTCCACACTTCACAACTCCATTGGTACATGTCATTTCCACATTTTTCTCTTCATGTTTGCCCAAAAAGGTGGGGGACCAACCTTTTCAAGTCCAAAGTTAATTTTTTTTCTGAGTGCTCAATTTCATTATTTCTACCACCTTTGGAACCTTGCTCCATTACTATATTCCTCTAGTCACTGTCTATATTGTATGCTCTCTGAAGGCAGAGATCATATCTTATACTGCCCTGAATTCCCTGTTCCAAAAACCTTTGTTTCAGCAATATGTCAAGTGTTCAGATACTTGTTAAATTAAATATCTCTATTTAAAATTCCATTTTCTCATTTAATTCTTCCTTTCTTATCCCCACAACCACTCATCAAATTCTGCCAATATATCTATTCCATATCTACCTTATCAAATGTTTCTTTTCTTTTCCACTATTCTAATTCAAGCCTTGCTGACCATTTTTGCATTATGACAGAGCCTCCTGACTCTTCTTGCTAACTTCCTTCTCCTAGTTCCAATTCACCTCTGCTAACTTACCCATTTCTCCACTTCCGATTTAAGAACCTCCAGTTTCTTAAATACATTTCTCAACTTCTAACCAGCCCAACTTCGGCTTGGAGAACTTTCTGCTCTGGCCAAATATTTCCTGCCTTACCACTAACTGTTCCATCACCTTCTAAATCCCCTGCTCCAACTACACATACACAGTCCAGGATATCTCCTGAACAAAACAATAAAGACACTCTCCCCCTCTGCCTACCTAAATCCTACTGTCTCTTAAGGACTATGTTAAATGTCACATCCTTTGTAAGGTCTCAAAATATCTCAAACTATGAACTACTATGTCCACTTTCCTGACCATTTAAAATTTCCTGTCCATTTAAAAGCTGGTTTTGCTAATACTGCTGATTGGGCTCTTAATTGATAGACCAATGTTGTAGCCTCGGAATCAATGCCTGAGGACAAACATCAAGGCTCTATTTTCTACAGTTCTCTAGTTCCTGGCACAAGGTTTCACCTTGAATAAGAGCTCAGCTAACCTGGGCTAAGGGGTTATCTAGGAAGGGTAGGGAGAGGGGTGGTGGGACAGGCCTCACCTAGGGGATCGGAGCGGCGGGGGGCAGGTCCTGCTGTGGGACCCTCAGCCCAGTCCAACTTGCCACGGGCAATGAGGTACTTCTTGGCTTTAGACAGTAGTGCTGGGAAGTCCTCCTGGGAGGCCGCAAAGCTCTCAATCTTATTCTTCACAGAGCCCAGCACCTAAAAAGCACAACTTTATGACACTTCTGGTGGCTCTAGACTGACAGTCCTTTTTAGTCCCATTGAGCCTATTCCCAGCCCACCCAGGGTCACTCCAGCTGCGGGCCTGGCCCACCATGGAGCCTGGACGCACCCATGCATGCATGCATCGCACACCTGCAGCAGGGACTTGACACTGGGCTGGAAGACCATGTTGGTGTTGAGCAGGAAAGAGCGGAGCAGGGGCTGGGGGTGACAGGCCAGCTGGGCCACCAGCCCCGTCAGCAGGAAGTTGACATAGACGGAGTTCTGCAGCATGTTCTCGAGTTTGGCAAAGAGCACAGCCATGAAGGGGCCTGGGGGAGGGGTGGGCACAAGGACACAAGGCCTGAACACAATGCATAATGCACGCATTCCTCCCCAAAACAAGAGATCCCCACAGGATGAAAATTATTTGTATGTCAGTTTCTGGGTATGTTTGATATCCTATGACCACCTATTCTGGAGGAAATAAGGTAGCAGACACAACATGGACTGCAAGAGTCCGGATGCCAGCTTTATATACATCTGAGCTCTCAAGAGTCAGATCTTAGGCTCTGGAGTCACAGAAATATCATTCCAAATTTTAGTTTTACCCTTTACTAGTTATATATTACTGAATAAGTAAGAACTCTCCAAACTTCAGTTTCCTACTTGGTAAAATAAGAAAATATACCTACCTCATAAGGTGATTAAGAGGATCAAAGAGATATCAATGTAAAGTATTAAGTCTAAGATCTGACAAATTTTATGTGTTTGATTATAACCATAAGCCACAAAAAAATCTTAGTTTTTGAAAAGCTTCACCCAAGAGGATGAAGAATGACTAGGTAAAGACAGTAATTAGGACCAAAATTCAGAATCAGGTCCCACACAAGACAGAAGAACATTAAACCTGGTAAGAAAGGAAGCAAGAAAAATGTACAGCCAAGACAAACAGATTATATTTAGAGGAGAAATCTTTGGGGGACCAGAAAAAACATGGGAGCTCTGTCTTTCAGGAGCCAGGAACCAAGGAGGTAGAATAGAAATCTGCAGTAAAAGGAGAGTTTAGTTCGAGAATATAGTAAACAGACTCTTTGGAGGAAAAGGAAATAACAAAAGGGGATCAGTTTTATTTGTGAGAGAGACAGTCTCAACTAAAACACATCACTAGCACTAGATCTAGATCCATTAGTCTTTCTGATCAGGGTTTTTGGAGAAAAGAGAGTATATCTAAGAACTGTACTGTGAATTGAGCCAAAATTACAATTAAGGGCAAGAGATGGTGAATACTGAAAAAGATCTAAGTTTCCACAACTAGCCTCGGCTCAAAGACAACTAACTAGCTTAACAGGGTCCTAAGGTAACTCATCACTTTGTTTTTCTGTTCTTCTCATTTCCTGGGATTTCTTATAAGAGATGATCCAAAAAGCTCAGATGAGTTTACAAAAAAGAAAAAAGAAGCTTTAATTAATATTTCAAGACTATGGTAAAATCTGCACACTACCTCCTATTGGTAATGAGCCAAGAAGCAAAGTATAGCTTAAATAAATGGAAAACTATATTTTCTATAGTCTCTAAAACAAGGAAGTTGACTCCAGAGCAGAAGTCCCATGGGCAGGACAGAAACATATTTCAGTATGACAATAATTAACCAAGGCATAACAACTTGACTAAGATGAGTGGCTGCCCAATTTACATCAGTCATGCACCCAGAGTTG